CGGTGTCTTGTAGACGACTTTTTCGCCACTAAACACCTCGCGCTCCGCAAATACCTAGCGCGCGGCGCTCGTACCGGAAACTTTAAACGAGGCAACCACATCTTTTCGGCAGGATTTGAGCAGGCAGCCTTAGTTTGATGGAAAGAGGAGATCGAGACCTTTAATTTCAGACCTAATTTATGCGTCCACCTGATGACGATAGTTATTGATAAAAAACCGACCTTCTTATCCAGGCTGCCAGGGTGTTGCGGCAGGGTGGGGGCAGGCAGCCTTATATGGTTGAATTCGTCTCACGCTCCCCTACAACATGGTGATTTCATTTCATGTTCACCTCTAAAAGATAGTTACTGTAATTATTCATCTAATAAAAAAATTTGAAAAACACTGTTTCGGCAGGATTTTCGCAGGCAACCTTCGCGTATTTTTTTAATTAGTGCCTCAACTAATATTCATATTTTTCTCGCTCGTCCACCTTATGACGACAGATTCTCTGCAGCCGTCTCTCGTACTACACACATAGATATTTTGTTTTATGTATATTAAATCTCAAGCTCCATTCTTGGTACTCTTCTATCAGCTTTCTAATCATATATTACATCTCATCTTTGTCACTGGCCACTATGACCTGATCATCTGCATACTGAAGAGTAAACAGGCACCTATCATTTATGTCTATACCCATTCCATGGATCTTCCTCTTTCAATTTTTCAGTGCTACTGCTACGTAGGTATATTTTGAAAAGCGCGGGAGAGATACAACATCCTTGACGTAGTCCTTTATTCACTATAAATGTGTCTGTGAGTTTTTTACCTATCTTAATTCTTGATTTTGAGTATTTATATAGTTCTTTAAGTGCCGTTATATAGGTGTGATTGATGTTGGATTGTTCTAATACCTTCCATAGTCTGGATACTGGGACTGTAGAATCGTATGCTTTTTGTACGGTGGGTGTGAGGTGGGTTCCCAAATGTCTAGCAGATCTCTTTTCTACGACTTTTTTTTAGGCAAAATACGTTGTCCGTACCTGATCTTCTTGCTCTAAAGCCGCACTGCTCTTCTTCTTCTTGCTCTTTATATTCTTTTTCAATGAGATCACGCAGGATTCTACCGTATAGTCTGCTTCATGTGCTTGTAACTGATATGCCCCGATAGTTATTGCAATCCAGCCCTTTTCCTTTCTTGTGAATGGACGATATAAAAGCCGTTTTCCAGTCTTGTGGAACAGGATGTCCATTTAGACATCTATTGATAATACACGGGAGAACCTTAAGTTCTTTAAGTTCCCTATTTCAGCATTTCGGAGTATATCCCTTCTGGGCCGCTAGCTTTACCTGACTTAAGATTCTCAACAGTCTTTTCTACTGTTTCTTAAGATATCTCAACTACCTACTTCTCCATGTACCTACTTCAATATGTCTTGGAGAATCTAATATATATTCCGGTCTACTATCTTGTAATAGATCCTTGTAGTATTGGTACAGCTATCCATTGCTCTGGTTTATTAATCTGGATATTAGCTCTGTCCTTTCCTGGATTTTTGACATTTGATCTAAATCTCCAAACCTCTGAGCATTTCCTTCCTCCTATGTAGGTGTTAATTTCTTCACATTGCTTATCTCATGACTCGTTCTTAGCTATAGTAATGGACGTTCTTAGTTGTCTTTTTGTGTCTTTATAAACTTCAAGGTCTTGTTCATTTTTTGTTGTTAGCCATTTCAGATATTTTTGCTTCTTCTCTTGGACTAATAACTCTATCTCTTCGTTCCATCAATATTTCTTGTTGATATTTTTTTCCTTCGTTCCTTCCTTGCTTGTTGGGTGGCTTTTAGTAGACTCCTTATAATGTTCTCATCGAGGTTCTCGTAGAGTTTATTGAAGGTAAATTCTTCAGGATTTAATAGTTTGCTGTCGAATCGCCTCTGCTATAGAAATACAGTGCTGTCATCTCTAAAACTGTCAAAATTGTACTTTGTTGTATCCACTGTGTCCGTTAGTATAGCATTGGTGTTTTGTTACTCTGCGTTCTTGTTCGTTTTCCTAAATTGCAACTTTATTTTGGCTCTTACTAAAAAATGATCTGACCCGCAAGTTTTAGGACTCTTACGTGGTTTATCTCTATGTTTGTTTCTTGTTTGCTCATCACATAGTCAATAATAGTTTTCAAGTTACGAGTATTCTGTATCCATGACGTGTAGCGGTGAATATCTTTATGTTTGAAAAATCCATTTTTATTCTAGAATTGTGGATCTCACAGATATGTATGAGCCTTTGGCCATTATCATTGATTATTTCTTCTCCAAATGGTCCTACAACTGGACTATTGTTCGTCCTTCCCGTTTTTCCATTGAAATCAGAAATTATGATTTCTCTATTTCTTCCAATATCTACCAGGATTTCATCCAATTTGTCAAAGAGCTCCTGCTTAATGCCGACTCTTTCGTCCTCTGATGGAGCGTAGGCTGCTATAATGGTGATGTTACAGCCATGTAGTTTCAAGTTGACCGTTAGGATATTTTCATCTACAGCTTCCCAATTGTTAATTTTTTTTCTAGTTTTTCCTTATCAGTATGAATATATATGAACTAAAGTAAGTTGTATAACTTCCTCATCTTGATAATGAAGCAACAAGAAAATTAGGTAATCCTTTTCTTCTGAATTTGTCAATTTTTTCAACTAAAATTTTTTCAGCGCGGAGGAAAACAGAAAAATGGCGAATCGGTCGCCGCTACTGGGACGTAGTCACCGACGGCTTAGTTAGTTTTTTTTAGGATCTGTACCTAGAAATGACTTTGAATAACACTCATTTTAAAAAAGAGAATTAACTTACCTCCTGCCCCCCAAACTTGGATTCAATTTTGAATGTAGAGACCCTATTTATGATAACTTGGACACATTCAGTGCCCTGTTATGATTTTGAGCATTTATTTTATGCGGGTTGTATTTGACTTTCATTTGTCAATTTTCTTATTTTGCACTTTGGTCTTGAACCTGTGTAATGAAGATGGCTAATCAAACTGTTTCAATGGATAAAAAGTAATATTTTTTTTATTAACCGAGTGCCTTTTTTCCTCGATTCGATACTTTAAATAATTAGAAAAACATGTAATGAAAAAATAAATACACATTTTCAGCAATAAAATGTAAATTTGCAATTGATTTGTTGGTTGGTTTGTTTTGAAATACACAAATAAGCCTGTCTATTGCAAGGCCCAAAATGTTCTTCATAGTTCTTCTTCTTTCGCAAGGCAGGTATTCATTTTTAATTTTAAAGTTGTCATGTTCCTTTTCCATTAATTTTAATTGTTAAGTTTTGCTCAAATGCACAGCTCATTGAGTTTCAATTTAAAGTTCTTGTTTCTTGATAATATGTAATTATTTTAAGTTTTGTACTTGTACGAAACTTTTAAAGGTATTGTCGAAATTAATTTTCTTGTCGTTCGTCTTTAAGTAATTTTTCACAAAAGTTTTTTTTGACGTTACACATATATGTTACATCCCATATGAGCTGACGACCATTTCTCCATTGACCATAAGTCATACGATCGGGCAGTTTCCCATCAATACGTGAGCAACCAGGTGGTTCCAACAACGATGATATTCCTGCACTTCTTGAAGTCCTTTGCAAAACATTGTTTAACAAAGTGTGACGATTAAGACGACCTGCGGTCATCTTTCCGCAGGATAAACCGTAGTAACCCCACTCATCCACCCTGGTTTCGCAATGACAATAGTAAGGTTCGCAAAGTCAAAGACCAATAAACGTGCTTTTTGTAGAGGATTATCTTGACATCTTGACAACAGACTTTCATAACGTTTCAACACTACAGGATGGTCTCAACCCTTTTTAATAAAAATGAAAAAATAATACATCAATAGCGGCTTTATTTTCCACAATTCCAAAGTTTCTGCTGAGTACGTATCACCCGTCGTTTTTAATCTGATACTTTCCGTATGAGCAGCAGGGGGTGAAGCATATGGCAAAAACAGTTGTTAGGTCAGGTGACAATTGGCGTTCTAACGTAGGGAACCACCAGCTCACATACCTTTGAAGTATCAGATTGAAAACGACGGACTTTATAGTTGGACATCAAAAAACATCATAAGATTATAAAGGTTTTCTTGGGAGTCAGGTTGAAAAATAAAAATAAGTTAGCGCGCATCACAAGTTATTTGTGGTTTATTATTTATTCTGTCTCAGAAGTAGAACTCTCAAATAATATTCCCTTTTCTAAATAACTGTTATCCGTTTCTCTGATGGTAGGTATAGCCTCACCACTAACTGGTATATGAAACCAAAGTACCTAGTTCAGGTAGAGTTTCGATTTATTATTCACATGCTACCTCACAACATAAGCTAACACTTTTTAACAATTTATTATTTCGGATTACTAAATTATAGGCTCACCGTATTATTGGGTTAGTTTGGGTTAGATTTTAGCCTGCTGAAAATAAAAAATCCTCTTGCGTCTAAATACCTACTTAATGCGTTCTTAATAAATTAGGTTTTACTTTATCGTGTGTTTGATACCCTATACCCACGACCAAAAATTCTGTGTATTGTTATTACCTATACATTCGCCAGGGTATACAGAAGCCATGCCTTAAATTCCAGAAAATTCTGCCTTGTTCAAGAAAGGAGGCCATCGCGTTTATTCTGGATTTTACAAGAATGGATTATGGATATATAAAGGCCGGTATTAGTAAGTAGTTTCTAGTTGCAAGATTGGCTGTGATATGATTTAGATAATTAATATTGTAAAGTTGTAGAGAGTTAAGTTGTTCGAGTTAATTAGTGACAGAGTGTGTAGTAACTTGGAATAAATTATTGTTGTGTTAATTGGACTTTGATTTTGGAATTAACGGACCCAAGATTTCTGTGACGCACCCCAGAACCGTGACAATACATAGGTAGGTAGGTACTCAAACTTTTTTCATTTCTGTTGATGACTATATAGATATAGGTACCATACAATTTTGTCAAGAAAAAAAACTCGGACTGTAAAAAGGGTTAACAATAATTTATTCAGGAATAATAATTAATATTTGATAAAATACTGACAATAACTAGACCACTTTATTCCATGGCTTGAATGAGTCTGGTTCTGGTTCCTTCAACTGCAAAATAAATGACGATAAAGGCAAACATTATTATTTAAAAAAAATAGAAAAAATAAATAAAAATTACCTTGGAAGTTATATTATCCTTACAAGCCATTCTGATTCTAGATGCCGTAGCTGGACTTTCTATTTTGAAATTTTCTGTAATGCCATTTTCTAATCTGGCAGCTTTGATGGCTTCTTTTATCGCAAATAATACAGAAGATGCTAAGAACAGGGGCGGTTCACCTACAGCCTGAAAAAATTGTTTGTTGAATAAATATTTCAAAATACCTCCAAGAGTAATGCCCTCTTAAAAGGAGTGTGACCCAAAAATGAAAGTTTTAGTGCATCTTGCTACGACGGTCCGTTTTCGAGTAAGGGCGTTTATAGTTACAACTAGGTGTTTGTGACGTCACACTGGATTTTCAGGGATAGTATTAACACGTGTAAGAATTTTCCAAAACAAAAGACAATTATCTCCTAGAGCGAATTGCAACCACTCAAAGTATAGGGTACGGTTTTTCTTCATTTCAATAGCTTAAGTCGTTTTTTAGGGTCACACCCCCTTTCAGGTTACCACAGACGCTCAGTTATTTTGCACAAGCCGACTGCGCAAACCTGGTTCATGCAGGCATATCGGCACGTCTGTGGATACTTCCGGCCGACTGTGCAGGCTGTTGGCCTGGCCTGAGTAAAATCAAGATCTGTTTGAAATTTGGCCTGCGCAAACCAACAGGCCTGAGCGTGTGCCTGTGTGTGTATATGTGTGTGTGTTCAGTTCATTTAGTTAGTCTATTTTAATAGCATTCCAAATAAACAAAATGATGAACACAATCAAACAATTTCTACGCGACTTTAAAGAAATATACAAAACCTTTCCATGCTTATGGAAAATAAAAAGTTAGGACTATAGTGATAGGAACAAGAAATCGGCTGCCTATGAAGTATTCTTCTTCATTGCACAGGCAAGCAGAATACAAGACAAAGTTGTATTGCGAAAACCCATTTTCGCTGTCGAAGAAAAATACGCTTGAACTGCGTTTGTCGTCCTGTTTGGAAAGAACTGTGCTAAAAACTGAGCGTGTATGCGACACGTAGGTACAGGTACAGATAAATATGCGCAAATCGGCCTGCACATACGGCCTGTGCAAAATAACTGAGCGTCTGTGGGGGCCTTTAAGAGTGATTAATAAATCTTTACAAACAGTGGCGGCAATAGAGGTTCCGCCGCCAATTTGTGGCGTACCTCTTGCCATGCTATTTTTAAATATGAATATAGGACTTAAATGGACATCTCTATCTTAAAACATTGAAAACAACGTATTTGATGACTATTATTAGGTACATCAAATCCGCTGTTCTCAATTTCTTATGATAGATGTCCATTTAAATCCTATATATTCATATTTACAATTAGCCAGAGGTAAGCCACAAAATGGCGGCGTTTTCAATATGAATATACGAGATTTTAAAGAACCAATCAAAAATAAGACAGCAGTTGTCGCCACTGTGGCTTAATAGAGTCACTGTAATTTTGGCAAAATACAGCGCCATCTAGCGGTGACTGATTTTCGCCAATCCTAAGTTTTGACACTTGACTAATGACATTCGAATTTTGAAATTTCATATTCGACATATTCATAGAAACTAAAAACGAAACGGTTTTTCCTTGTTTCTAGCGTTTTTAAAATAAAAATTTAACAACCGCAAAATGCGGAGATCTAAGTCGTCTCCAAATTTTTCCGTACCCAGCAGTTAACGAACGTCTAGGCACAGAAAAAGGGCTGTGTCACTAGCCAGGTAAGTAGATTTAAACAATACTAATAAAGGCCTAGTAGAGAACAAAACATATATGCAGCTAATCGATTTTTATCCCACAATACACTGTTCGGTTGCCCCTTGGGGGTACCAAGTCTTCGGCGACTTTGCTCTCATGTTCTCCCAGTGATGCTATGGCCGCTAAGGGTGGTTATAGGAGCAGATCTTTGAGGGGTTTTGTATCCAGACAAGTATCCAATGTAGGCCTATTTCCAAATACAATAGTATTGATAAAATTGAAGCTTTATTGTAAGTGATTGTTAGTAAGTCAGCGGCAACAGACAAAAAACATTTCGGGAAAAAATTAGGCGATAAAAAATGGTTGGCGGAAAAATATTCCAAAGTAGGTTAGTGAAATCATGTATTCTCGAGGGTATAATAATATTTTTCAGATTCAAAATTACATCCGTAAAGGTGGACTGTTTGATGCTAGCTTGGCAGGATCATTGCGCCCCCCAACCATTGCTATTTTTGTTGAACTAACAACAAAATTGCTGAAGCAAATAGTTGAAATTGGACCCTTCAATACAAAAAACTATTTCAACATTGTCATGACTAATCTTAAATTACTCAAATAGCCTGACAAATAACAAGTCCGCTTTTAAAATCTATCCACACAATTTTTGCTTGGCCCAATTTCATTGCCATAATATCATTTTTATTGGATAAAGTCGATTTGAGTACTGTGGAAATACCTAAAGCTCAACTACAGGAGGAGTATAAAATGCGGGATTCCTGTTGGAAGTTTATTCAGTCTATTGAAAAAACAGAACCGATACAAATAAAATCTGACTATTTAAAATTGTTCGGAGCTGATTTTGAAGCTGTTCAAATACTGAAAGAGTGTATTGCTAGTGAACAACCAGAACTTGAGAATATTCGTGCCAAATCGGAGGAGAATAGGCACATGTCAGACAAATTGAAAGCAATGTATCTGGAAAGGCAGCAAATTATAGATGAATATGAAGTAATTTTTTTACATCTTTAGAGGTTAACTTAAGGGGGCGTTAATGACCGAACTTCAGATTTCAAATCTCTGTTCTGTGCTCTGATGGTAACCCATCAGAGCACAGAAATTCTGTAAAGAGAAAAAAAAAAAACATCGGTATCAGTGGCGACGCTAGGGTTTTATGTTAGGGGGGCCAGACTGGGCCAGAAAAATTTAGGGGGGGGGGCACTTGTTTTTATTTTATTGCTCTTCTTCTTTGAAATAAAAAAATGAAAAGTACCTGTCGACACTAATAGGTCTGGAGGAATCCCACGAAAGCGAAAGCATCATCGCGGTTCCCTATGCCTAAGAACACTTAACCTAATAGGACTGCTTATTAAACTGCGAATGTCAGCCATTTCAGCTGCAAACCTCAACACTTGGCGTAAAATCGTAAAATGCATTAGCCTAATTTAATACAGTATAGGTCGAAATAACAGATTCCGTATAATCTTGTTGAAATCACCTTTTCTTCATTTAAAATCGACGAAAAAACAAGCACAACCTGAATCGCAAGCATCCCATCGAGGCCTGCGGGTGACGCCATCACTATCAGCTGCTAATTAGTAGTGACGTCACTCGCAGGCCCTGCCGATTCGAGAATTGGCGAACGTACGCCTTATGAGGATGAGCAATCCTGTTAGTTAACGATTCTTGGCCTTTGCCCACCGAATTCCGCACTAACCAGCAGAGGTTGCTGATGTTGTATTGCATTTTTGCCAACATGAGATCAGAGCAAGTTTTCAGGGGGGCCGGCTAAATTCCAGTGGGTGCCCTGGTCCCACTGGACCAAATAGACAAGCTAGCACAGATGCTAGAATATTTTCAACGATTGATTTGATAAATGGAGCCAGACAGTAGAAAATATACGTCATTCGTTACATATAATGGTCAGTATCAGTTTAGAAAAATTCCCTTTGGTATATGTAATTCTCCAAGCGTTTTTCAAAAATTCATAAATCAAGTGTTTAGACAATTAATAAATCAAGGCATCGTTTTAACCTATATGGATGATTTGATTATTCCGGCGAAGGATGTACATGAAGCTATCGAAAAATTTGAAATTGTCTTGAATGCATGTGAAGAATATGGGCTTGAAATTAACGAGAAAAAATGTAATTTTTTGAAAACGAAAATTGAATTTTTAGGTCATCATATTCAATATGGAAACTTACATCCGTCAGAGATAAAAACTAAAGCAGTTTTGAATTTTCCAGAGTTGAAATCATTGAAACAAGTTCAAAGTTTTCTTGGCTTAATAACTGGTTATTTTAGAAAGTTTGTTAATGATTATTCCCTTATTGCAAAACTATTGAGTGACCTTTTGAGGAAAAATAGTAAATTTGAATGGAAAAGGCAGCCTTTATTCATTTGGAACGAATAATCGCGGAAAAGCCAGTTTTGTCTATATTTAAACAAGGTGTTGAAACCGAGTACCTACATACTGACGCTTCAAAATATGGTTACGATGCAATATTGCTACAAAATGTCAAGTGACGATATGCAACTATATCCAGTTAATTACATGAGTAGGAAAAATAACGACGCTGAGCAGAAATACACTAGTTACGAGTTAGAAGTTCTTGCCATAGTAGAAGCGTTAAAGAAATTTAGAGTGTATTTATTGGGATCGAAATTGAAAATAGTAACAGATTGTTCAGCTTTCACAAAGACTATGAAGAAAAAAGATATATCAACAAAAATAGCAAGATGGGCGTTGTTGATCGAAGAATACGATCGAGCATCGATCGGCAAGCTGGATGCGACATGTAGATCATTATCAAGATACTGGATTATGACGATACAAGACGAAAAAAATCTAGTCACAAGAATCAAACGTGCACAAGAAACAGATGAAGGATTAGAAGCCGTTAAGAAAATTTTGTGTGAAAAGCTCTATTAAGACTATATTTTGAGAAATGGAATACTGTACAAATTGATAAATGGAAGTAAATTGTTAGTTATTCCTAGAGCAATGCAGAACGAAATTATGAAAATGATACATGTGATGGTCATTTTGCAGCGAAGAAGACGGAAGAAGCTCTAAAGCAGTATTACTTTATTCCAGAAGTCAAATGTAAAATAGAAAAAATAATATCTTCTTGTGTTTCATGCATTCTCGGAAATAGGAAGAAGGGTAAACAAGAAGTCTTCCTACACCCATTAGAAAAAGATGATATACCGCTAAATTCTTACCATATAGATCATCCAGGTCCACTGGATTCGACCAATAAAAACTACAAACACGTCTTAACTATTCTAGATGGTTTTACAAAATTGTTTGGCTATATCCCACAAAATCAACTACTTCGAGTGAAGTAATTGAGAAATTAGAATGTTAAAGAAACGTTTTTGGAAACCCTAAAAATTTCGTATCAGATAGAGGTACAGCATCCACCTCTGAAGAATTTCAAAATTACTGTAAAGCAAACAAAGTTTAGCATCATACAGTAACAAGTGAAAAACCTAATAGTAATGGGCAAATTGAACGAATAAATACTATAACTATAATTGCAAACGTATTAACTAAATTTTCCAAGGACGATCCAACAAAATGGTACAAACATGTAGAATCAGAGAGCCACAAGCATGACACCATTTGAACTTATGTTTAGAGTAAAAATGAATAAGCCAGGCGATCTAAATATCAAGGAAATGATAGAAGAAGAAACCAAAAAAATATTTGAAGAATCTAGAGACGAATTACGGAAGACAGCAAAAGATCAAATAAAGAAGATACAGGAAGAGAACAAAGCTTACTATGACAAAAACAGGAAAGAGCCAAAAGATTATGAAGTTGAAGATTTAGCAGCCATTAAACGAACTCAACAAGGGCCAGGGCTCAAGCTGAATATAAAGTTTCTAGGTCCCTATGAGATAATCAAAGTAAAGGAAAGCAACACTTACGATGTTATGAAGATTGGTTGTCATAAAGGGCCCATGGAAACATCTACATGTTTTGAGTTTTTGAAATCATGGATAAACTACGACGCTGATGACCATGATTCAGACATAGATCAAGACGAAATAACATCAGAGGCCGATGTAACTGAGGACGGCCGAGTTGTGGGATATATACCAGCAACCGGTGCAGTTGGCACCTTTGGTAAAGGTGTATGACCAGTATCCTGAGTGTCATGAGAAGGTAGATTATCAACTGAAAAACAGTTGGTTCAGGAAGAATATAACGACCGGGGTACACAACGTGTGAAAACGACGGCCCTAAAATTAGGACGATACAAAGAAGTTTAATCACGACTCTTATTTAATCCATTTTTGTGATAAGGTACGAAGTTTGTGTTCAAGTTAAAAGTTGTAGTTCCAAATAAAAGAAATTATCAAAAGACGTTCATGTTTGTTCGTATTTTTTCATACAGAATCCCACAGTATTTTATGGTGGTTGGCTTTTATAAGACGTAGAAAAGCGAAAAAAATATATTTTCAAAATTTGGTTTAGGGCTTTAATCGACAATGGAAGCTCTATCTCAATATTGGAATTTCAACTGGAATAGTCTTTTCACCTATTGTGTGTGCGCTTGAGGTAAAACTATGATTAGAAAAGCTCTGAAATTTCAACGATATATCTACCTACGAAATTAGATTAGATTATGTAAGGGGGTGTTTAGGTAAGGGAGGTGTTTAGGTAATCCTCTCCAAACTGCGACCTAAATAGGTCTATTGTGCTTCCCTTTGTCTAGTAGGTTCTCAGATTTTTCGCGAATCTTATAATTTTTCTGGGATAGGTTCCTTTAACATCCGCAGCCGTGATATACTTAATATGTCTTTTCCAGATGAATAAGTCTTCTGTGACATAACGCTCCGTATTTGCAGAGTATTATGTTCGGCGGATTCGGATGCTTCTTTGCAGAAGTGGCAAAGGTCTGATTCAGCTTTACCCATCTGTTCAAGGTCGTAGCCAAAAGGGCAGTGGCTGGTGAGGAGGCCCGTTATGAGCCTCAAGTCTGGTATGCTGCGTTCAAATATTCATTTAACTTTGTTGACTGGCGAAATGAATTCGCCTGTCTAAGTCCTGGAATGTTGTTGCAAAGGAAGGCTTATTGTGCCTCTTTCCATTTTTTGAGTTTGGTCCTTACATGGCTTTTTGTCAGGCCAAAGAAGGGTTCTGGACCGAGGAATGGGGACGCGGCGCCCCTCTTACAAGCCTGACCGACATATCATCTTCTATATTCTGGTGCCCTAGTACCTATGATTGAGTGACTCTATTGCGGTTCAGCAGTTGCCAAATGTCTTTGGACTACCACAAAGACCCATACCTAAAGCTGAAGAACAATTCACCCCATTATCAAACCCCTGCAAGATACTAGCAAATAGGTTATTTGTCAAAGATTCCAAGCACTTTGTATAAATACTAAAGACACACTAACTTGAATCCAGAAGAATCAGTGAGCTTTGCCATGGAAAACGTACATAAACGTGCCAAGTACTGAAGCCATGAACATCATGAACGAAAAACTTGAGAGGAAAAATTTACCAAATTAGAGAACTACTTCACCCATAGAAGCAATCTTAGGTTTGATGAAATATTGCCTGGAGAGCTTACTTTCAATATCAATTCTGCCCACAAAGGTTTGACTACTCAGGAGTTATGGGATCACCATTATCGCCCCCTTTGGCCAACATTTGTGCGAACTGAATCGAGGAATCAATGTAAAACCTAAATTATGGTTGAGATATGTCATATGTCGACGATACCTACTATCGTTATGTAATCATGGGAAAAGTGATCAGGATAATTTCTCAACCACGTCGACGGAAATTAGACCTCCCATCGTACTTTCCATGAAAAATTAAACAGATAGCAGTTTCTCTTTCTTGAAGCCGCACATACATAACGACCTTCTACAGGAAACTTACCCAAACAGGGCATTACATAAATTTTAACTCAAACCACAGTCAAATGACAATACAAAATCACTAACCAGCATAAAACCAAAAAATCTTATAAACTCAAAAAACTCTACCTATATACTCACATGTAGGTATACTGATGTAATTTATGAGTGTATTATTTATTTTCATAATTATTGATTTATTTTGTTTATATTGTGAGGAAATTGCGTCAAGAGCCCGGCCAGATTCTACGAATCCAGTTGTTCATGTCTAGCACGACTATTCGGGCAATTCTATTGTATTCGAGTAGGGTAGGTTTCAGTGACAATATAATGTTTTTGTAAATTTTATGTTCAAGGTTTTTATCGGTCTGTCATTCCTATATTGAAGACTCTTAAAAAAGCTATGATAAACAACGACACGTTTTTTCATTTTCATTTCTCAGGAAGAAATCCTATTTGACTGGGTTTTAGCCTTACCTTGGAAGAATATACCGCTCTAGGGTTGGATGTTCCCTTAAGCAATGAAACATTAAGTTCTGCAGGTATATCACCGAATCCAGGTATTTTGTAAGTTCCGGGGCCTCTAGTGAACAATAATCCATTTGGCGAATAAACCAATTCCTCTAGGATAAACAATCCGTAGCCCTGCATAAAAGCGCCTTCTATTTGACCAATGTCAATGGCTGGGTTTAAACTTTCACCTGGAATATATTAAAATATGATCTTTCGAGTATTTTTCCAGTTTATTACTTACCTAAATCCATCACAATGTCAGTTCTAACAACTTTATGATCACCAGTAAGTGTATCTATTTCGACCTCAGAACAAGCAGCCCCATAAGTGAAATACGAAAATAAATTTCCCTGGTTTGTCTTCCAATCGTGTCCCAAATTAGGGGCTTTATAGAACCCTTGGGCTGATAAACTTATTCTTTGTAAATAGGCAGCTTTAATCCAATCTTCCCATTTTCCTTTAGGATTTGCCGCTTTAATTGGTGCCAATCTTTCATTGAGTATATTGCAAGCATTCTGAAATAAACTATTTTAGCATCTCAAGCTTTCATTTCATTACGTGATAGAATAGGGTAAATAAATTAGTTCTCACCAATACAGCCATTCCATTCAAATCACTGCCTGTACTAGCTGCTGTTGGACTAGTATTAGGTACTATGTCAGTATTAGTAGTCTTATTATTAATCTTTTTTGTAGGTATATTCAAAGCTCTGCTCACTATTTGGATCATTTTTGTGAAAATCCCTTGCCCCATTTCAATTCCTGCATGATGAACTAATACAGAGCCATCGACGTAGATATTAACCAGAGCTCCAGCTTGGTTAAGGAAAATCGCTCCGAAAGCTACGCCGAATTTTGTTGGGATTAGGCTGATGCCACGTTTTTTGTATTTGTGAAGTCTAAACAATAAAAATTCATTTTAGAAACTAGGATAAATTTTATACCTACTAGCTTACTCATTGAATGACTCTATTTCCTTTTTTCTTTTGTAGAATTCCGAACTTGTAATACATTCCTTCCAACATTTATCCAAAGTGCAGTTATCTAACAATTGATTGTAAGGTGTCAGTTGGCCATTCTCATATAAATTAACCTTCAATCGAATTTTTTAGCAATATTTTTACAAAGTTAGAGATGACTTACCTCGCTGACATTTATCCTTTCAATTCCCAAATAATCCGCAATATCCTGAACAATATTTTCAGCAACAAACATCCCCTGAGGTCCACCAAATCCTCTAAAAGCTGTATTCGATGGAATATTGGTCTTGCAGATCCAACCAGTAGCTCGGCATACTGGAATATTGTAGGCGTTTTCAACGTGTGCTAATGCTCTTTCACATACCTAAAATAAGCCATACTTAATAATTTTATACAATTAATTTCAGTAGTGAGAAAGCAGTCTTTATAACAAGTTAATGTACGTATGTATGTGTATGATGAACGCCTTCTCTAAGCGATTTGAGCTCCCTTATGTTACAACAGCGTATTTGACCCCGATGTCGAAGTTTGCATAACACATGCATTATTACTTGCATTGGAGGCCAAAGTGCTAGAGAGAATTTTCAGTGCGTATGTAGAAAAACCTATTCAGCTTGACTATCCGGTAATTCCATTCAAAATTGGAGTGGAATATCTGTGTTTTGGTCTTCCGATTGGTTGGTCTCAAACAGCATGCATTGCGTCTTATTCATTTAAAGCAAGATCGTTGATGTAAAACCACGTAGTTGACAAATACAATATTGTCTGACTCAATAATTAGTGGTAGATCATAGATATTTGGACGACTCACCACCACCGGAGCTATCAGTAACTTAAAAACAGCTTTTTTGGGGTCTTCCACTGAGAAAACAGTCTATTCAGTTAGCATTCTCGCCTCAGACCAACCATTTTTTTTAGCAGGGTAGCATGGTTCAGGGTGTCATACGCTCTGGCAAATCGACGATCAGACCAAGAGTCACAACCTGGTCGTCCACTGCCGCAAAGACACCATGAACAAAGGCACTTGGTGCTGTTGGATTTCTTCAAAATGAGACAAACTGATCATCTTCGGGTTTCCAGGACCTTAGAGAAGACTGACAGGAGGCTCACTGGCCGGTTATGATGATTGAGAACGTCAGGGCTTACCTTTTCGTGGATTGGTGTTATAGCTTTAAACAATCGGGAAAGGTTTCCTCCCAAAAGATACACTAGAAATACGTTCCAACACTGGGCAAGGTGTTAGTAGTTTTGGTTTGGTTTCCTGCTCTGTCACAGGGGAGAGAAAAATGGTGTTGGGATTTTAATTGATGAGAGAGCTGAAGTTTTTTCTTGGTATTCCAGATGCCTGCTTTTATTCATATCCGGAATATCCTCCACAAAAAAAAGAATTAAATTTGTTTTTACATCTTGATTCCAACAGTTGAACTTACTGGTTGCCACATAGGTAAATTTTGTTTAAAAAGATATTTACGTTACAAGGATTTGGCAGTTTGGCTATGAGCTTTCGTTCTGGATAAACCTTGTCCAGAAGTTTTTTATTGGTTCAACTCGCTTCGATGTGATCGATTCTCGTTCACTTATGTATTGTTAATACTAGGTGAGGTTTGGATATATTTTTTTTAGTGAAGTGCGAATGGCACAATGTTTCTTGAAAAACATTAAAAATTACGGGAATTTGAATCACCATACGTTATTATATTCAAATCCAGTAGATCTGGACAATAATGGTATAAACAGGTCGGAGGTCCAGCACATAACACCCTGCGTGAATATCTAGTTATGGATTGGTCGAGAGGGCCCAATATTGTATCCGATCAGATCTCTTGATTTGACCCGTTGGAATATTCTCTGAGGAGCTACACTTGTGATACCAGTTACGTTTACTGATAATTGATATCGTATTTTAAAATGTGGACGAGGTCAACGAAGGCCTGCTCTTGTAAAAATAAATAAAACACCTCTTACCCCCATTGACAAATCTTGTGAATAGCCAGCATTGAGATATATTCTCACGTCACAACCCAAAATCTTTCCTCTATCATCAAAAGCCACTTTATATTTAGCTAGACAAGGATGCCTTCCAGCGCACATAACCATATCTTCATCTCTGTCCAATATCACTCTGATTGGTCGATTGAATTTTTTAGCTGCGATTACAGTTGGTAAAGCCACCATTGCAGCTTTGCTTTCTTTACCACCGAATCCTCCCCCTATACGTTTGACATTGCACGTAACTTTGTGTTGGTGGCTACCCAGTACATGCGCGCACAAATGCTGGAAAGTATCGATTTAGAAACTTTTTAAACAAAATTTAATATCTGGTCTCTACTTGGACTTCTGTAGGATTTTGCGTCGACGAATAAATTTCCATTTCATCTTCTTTAGGCACAGCTACTAAACCATGGGTTTCAAAGTAAAAGTGTTCTTGACCGCCCATACGGCATTGACCTTCATAAACGTGGGGTGCATCTCTAAAAACCTATAAAGACACATATGTTTCTATTAGTCTCACAATAGCTATGTAGTTTTTTTTGTATCTATCATTCAAAACGATTCTAAGAAGCTCTGAGAGTTGCCAGAGGATTCAGAGTTAAGAAAAGTAAAAGAGTCCTTCCCAATGCAATCATGGGTTCTTCACTTGTTTTTGTCTCCGTCTTCCTAGGATTTGTGATTTGAGAACTTTTCTCCTTTTTTAACTCTGTACCTAATAGTTTGATGAATAATGTTTTATAGCAAAGCAAACACTGGATATATTACCCTTTCTAAATCTCCTCTAGGTTGTATAACATGCAATGGATCTTGAAAAAATGATTTCCTCTCAATAGCATCCTCTATACTGATTATAACAGGTTCCAAATCCTCATATTCTACTTTTACCATTTTGGCAGCTTTTTGAGCTATGGCTTGGGTTTTTGCAACAATTCCAGCTGAAAACAGCTTTTTAAATTTCCAGATAACTACATTTTTTTTCAAAGTTTTACCAATTATTTGCCCATGACTAGTGACTTCATCAAAATAAAATACTTTTTCATCACGTATGATGGAACCCCAAACGTTAAGCTCCACCCCAATATCTTCTATACCAACAAAACCTTCTACTCCATCAAGTTTTAGTGCTGCTGATGGATCAATGGATATAATTTTGGCATGAGCTCTAATACTAGTGACGAAAGCCAAGCAAAGTTCCCTATCAAAACGTGGAATATCGTCACAGTATATTGCTTCTCCAGAAGCTTGTTTGAAAGCTGAGGCATGAACTATAAACAAACACAAATTAAAATAAAATAAATATAGTAGTATAAATTATACAGAGTGCTATGTTTGCAATTTAATGGTTTCCCTATGTTGAGAAAACTGTGCACAATCTGGCAACAGCGCATAGGAGGCGCCCCCCAAATATCTTGTAGGGCTTAAAATAACTGATCCCCAAACCTGTTTTATTGATAAACCCCTGTATACCCGATGACTAGAGTTTTCACGAATGGAATTTCACGTTGATGAAACTACACGACCAATAAGATCAATAGTTGATGTTTGGAAGAGTAGTCCCACGTATCTGTGACTCCGCATTCGCAACAATATCAAAGAGTTGAATTCTTACCCATTGGTCTGGCCAGAGCATCATGTTTCTCTTGCGTCTCTGGAACAACTGAGAAATATTGCGAACTTTTTTGCTCAGGCTCGCAAACTCCTTCACCTCCACTATACTCTCTCTCGCTCAACTCGTCTGTTTTCACCTTATTTGGAAGTTGCTCTGAAATGGCTATAAATGCTTTGGTGAATAAACTCAAAACTAGAGACTTTCTGTATTGGATCATTCCACCAGGAGCGGACGGATCTAGTGGAAGATCTTCCAGGAGCAACGAATAGATTTTGTCTAATGTTTGTTTATTCCATGGTTCACCTAGAAAAACGTTAATTGAGATATTTATTCGGGAAAATTCTATTAATTAGGAGACTTACCTACAAGATTTTTTTCTGTTTTTGGTGCATTAACAGTTTTATAACTCATTCCACCAAACCCAAAACTAATTTTTTGAATCAAATTCGAATTATCATTTTCAAATGTGACATTTACTGCTGCATTTACGATCGCTATATCATCTTCTCTTCTTCTCGCTTGCTTATACGCTTTAAAATACTGATTTTTTGTTGTAAACGGAATATGGATTGCTCGTAAGATTTCATCAGGCTGTAAAACGGTTTTTCTATAGCCTGTAAAGAAGTTCCCATCAAGAACCACTATACGCTGGCCGTTTTTCCTGTGTTCCACTTCAAGTTCTACTTTGGTAGCCATTAATATAGGTAACATATCTGATATGGGACTTCCTGTCATGATATTTCCTCCAATAGCTCCGACACTTCTAATTTGTTTTCCAGCAAACCAATATAACATTTCAACTATCGCTTTGAAAATTCTGGTTTGATATTCGGGATGTTTTTCAATTTGTCCTTTTAGATAATCTCCCATGTCTGTTAAAGTCACAGCAGCTCCAACCCTACAATTTAAGTTATCCATCATTTTATTTGGAAGATTCCTTCTGATCATTTCTTACGTAACACCTCTGGCTGTTTCCTCAATAGAATTCAATTCTTCAATGACCGTAGGTTGAATTATAACAGGATAAAGCATCTTTTTGAATTTAGTTTCAACGCCAATTTCAGTATTACCAACCACTATTTTGGCATCTGGAAAATTGTATTTCAGTTCCAAAAAATCTTCGAGAGTTGTTGGTCGATGCCTGGAAGAATAGTGTTTATAAATTAATTTTTTGATTTGTTTATTTATTTTTCAAATTACCATGTTACATTCGGACCTTGAATAAGCAGATAATGCTTATCATATTTATCATACAGCTTTAATTCCGGAGGAAAAATCGGTTCTTGTGACGGATGATATGGAACAAATTCTTCAGCCTTAAACAACCTTTCTTCTGATTTATCTTTTTCCTCTTGTCTATTCGAAGTTCCATTTTGTAGTTTACAACATTTCTCCCCCATTCCACAAGCTCCATTACTTCCATTGACAAGATTTGCATTTCTTCCAACTTCCCATTCTTCAGTGAACGTTTTAAATCCTTCAATAATGGGACGATATCCTGTGCATCTGCAAAGATTTCCTTGGAAAGCTTCTTCCATTTCCTTCATCTTTGGCTTTGGAGATTGTCTAAGTAGCGTGTACATGGACATAACCATACCCGGAGTACAAAATCCACATTGAGACCCATGAGCTTTAGCAATTCTTTCTTGGATAGGATGTAAGCGACTTCTGGTGGAGCCTATTCCTTCTGTGGTGGTCACAGCTAAACCGTGCATGGAACATACTGGAGCTAGACATGCATTGACAGGAATGTGACTAAGAAGAATGTTAAAGTAAAATATTTTTTTGGAGATTTTTTTTGATGTTTTTCAAGTTAATCGAAGCTCAACCTGACTGAGTTTATTGAAACATTACCGCAGTTGGCACTAGCTTAAGTGTCGCCAGAAAACAGTTTCTTTATGCTAGCTCGGATTATGCTTGAGCTTGTTTTTCGTCTCTGACAACTGTTTAAGCTAGATTTTGCTCTTCTATCAGGGCTGTGCTTTACACCTGAAATTGGATAGTCTGTCAGGTCAGCTTCAATTAGAATACTTCTGCAAAAAAGGATACATTTCTTTTTTTCTGGTTCTGTCGTATTTTGAAACCATTACAGTACAGGCTCCACATCCTCCTTCTCCGCAACCTAATTTGGTGCCGCATAATCGCACTTTGACAATTGTTAAGGAAACACTTCATAATTCGAGAAGTCATCAAAAATATACTTATTAGTAATTGGTAACCCTCGTTAACCGTATAGTAGTTATTATTGTATTTAGGACTTGAAATGCCTCTTTGGAGATCCAAGTTTGGGACGATGAATAATAAAACAATGAAAAAATTTAGTTGCCAAAACCGGGAAATTTCACCACCTGGCGCCAAAAACCGGCACCAGTTCAAAAGGGCCATATTCAAAACAGCGATATTCAAAATGGCGGTCTAATTTTAGTGAGATTCAAAACAGCGGCATTTAAAAAGAGCGACATTTCAAAAAAGCGACTTATCAAAAGAGCGACATATTAAAACAGTGAGATTTGAATCGGTAATATCTAAACAAAACAGCGACATATCGAAAGGACGGACACATTAAAATAGCGACATCTAAAACAGCGAAATCTAAACAGAACAGCCGCATATCAGAAGAGCGACATTTAGCTTGTTGTTCCATCTTCTGTCTGGGCCTCTTTGTCTATTAATGGCATGCTTTGAGGGACTGTACGATGGCAAATCTCTTCGCCGTTAACATCAGTAATATTACTTCCAATCAACTTTCTTGGTCTAACATTTTCTTTTGACTTTTGCTTTATACTAGGGTGTGACGAATGAGTGAAAAACAAATTGAATCAATATTGATCCAGAAAATGCCGACTTACTCAAACTAACCCGTCCATCTTGTCCTTGTCAGTTAGAATTAAAAAAAAAACAAAGTTAATTTACTTAGAGCGTAGGGTCCGTTGAGCGCGCGTTTTTTTTTTAAATAAAATGATGCTAACTTACGAGGTCTAGATCTAGTGCGATCTAGACCGCGAACGGGTAGGTGAATTTGGGTTAGTTTAAGTAAGTCTGCATTTTCTTGATTATTATTGATTCAATTTGATGTGTCTCTGTTTTGTTTGAAGGTCGCCATTTTTAAATGTCGCTCTTTTGGTATATCGCTGTTTTTTTTTGAGATGTCACTGTTTTGAATGTTGCTATTCTAATATGCCGCTACTTCAACAATATATCGCGTTTTTGATATCGCTATTTGAAATATCGCCCTTTTGAACCAACCTCATCAAACTGAGACATCATTGTTGGGTGAACCAATGACAGGAAAACTTTACAAACTGAAATCGATAAAAAATATCATAATTTGTTTAAGTTTTAGAAAAGCTATTATCCCAATGTGTCTGTTGCACTGTTGCGAAAATTAAAAAAAATCGTAATTCTTTCAATGCTATGTGTGTAATCTAGGCAAAGGCGTGAGATTATTCGAACATTTTAAAATTCTATTCAACAAAGATCGAATGTGAAAAAATACATCATCGCAACAGAAAAAAAGGTAAGTAGGTAGGTACCAAATCTTGAGACTGTAACTCATAAAAAAATAGTTTGGAAAAGGAAATGATGAAACTATTGAAACTTGGACTTTATTAGAGAAAAATTAAAAACAACCGACAAAATCTCGATGGGAGAACCCGAAATACGCCACTTACGAATAGAAGCTTTAGAGGAAATGAAATAATACCTCGTTTATATTGATGGAACCAATGCAGGCCCAAATAAACCTGTCTCAAAAGGTACTAAATTTTTATGAATGCTGAATATGAAAATAACATTGCAGCACTGGAGCCTATCATAATGAAATAAACTATAAAAACTATGGAGAGTAAATAGAAGATAATTTAGTACCAAAAATACCTTCGTCCCAACAGTTTGGTGGAAATTGATGACGCTCCATATCATAACGAACACATCGAGAAATGCCCTACATACACGACCAGAAAAGATTAGATGGAAAATATGCATACAAACTTCGACGAAACGATGTTGTAACCACGGCTCTAATTCGAAATTAGTAAGTCTAGACACAAAACACCAAGTTGATCAAATATTTCTATGAGCCGGGCATTCTGTATACCGTTTGGGTTCATCCTAAATTTTCAGTGTGAGCAAATATGATTGATATGAAAGAGTTTCTGTTTGTGTGTGTTAGATTTTACCTTAACAGTCGTTATGAAAACAACAGATTTTTTTTTTTTTTCAAGAGTTCGGTAAGGTTAGGTTAGGTTTTAAAGGGTTTGCCATACAACTGTAGAGCTTGCACTCCGAGGCCTATTGACCTATTGTGTTCCCTTCTTCAGGGTGGTTACCTCCCGAATCTTTAACCTGTCCCTCTCTTCTTCGTTTTGTGCCAATGTTTGGTTTTTACGACCTAGCAAACACGCTGTCGTCATATTGACGTGACTAGGTAATTGGATTTCATTGAGACGAAAATAATAACGTCATTATGACGAAAAAATGACAGGTTAATGTCACAGACCAATGTCGTCATTCTGTTACGATAAAATGACGTCTTTCTGTGTCGTGATTTAGTAGGGACTTATGACGAATATATGACGTAATCTGGGACCGTAAAATCACGGAACCAATAATTTTCCAATTTTTTTTTTAAAGAGACGTCGATGATCAACTAGGACTGAAAAGGGTGAATTACGTAGCCGTGCTAGCTTTGCAGGTGGATTAGATGCTATTTCTACTAATCCACCTGCAAACTTCTCGGTGACAGCCAATTTTTATTCACTACAGAAATAACTGTTCTCACACACAAATTGCACCCCAAAAAATGCTACAATATACTTAAATATAAGTAGCTAGGATAGAGGTATGAGGTAGGTTTGGTATTAAAACAAAAAAAGAAAAATTATTATTTGAGTTTCGGTTTCCCATGATCTTCTCTCCGCACGGCACCTCGTCCACCTCCAAGCATAATACACACTACTACAGGATTGCCTATCCTCATAAGGCCTGTATATGACAACTGAAGGCCCTCACCTCGCCAAATCACCAGCTGTGTCGTAGGCAGCATATCGTTTCTCGCCTTGGCGTAGGCTGTTTGCACCACAGGTTATAATTCCGCGAGCCTTTGCTTTATGCATACTTAGTTTTACTACAATATTTGATATTTTAAAACAACTATTTTTTAGATCTCATTTGCATCTTTCTATTCGCCTATTATGTTGATCAAAATTAAATAATATTGTTCGATTTTGATGTGAAAATATCATTATTCTCGCACACAAAATCATTGAAGAATGAAGCTCATTCTTCAACCATTTTTAGTGTAATTTGGTTTTCAGTATACCTATTGGTCAAAATTGTCAAACGTTTTGAAATAATAGAATCCACCTGTCAGTTGGTTGGTAAGTAAGTGTTAACAACTGAAATATTTTGCAAAAAAAGAATCCCCAACCAACAGCGACCACAAAAAATTTAAAAAAAAATTAAAAATAAAATTAAAAATTAAGAAAATAGTATAAAAATCGCGTTGCAGAAGGCTATTCTCGCACTCATTCGTTCGTCCACTCGCTCCTTCATTGCTCGTGTCCAAATTTCGAATTCTTGCGGGAATATGTGGCCTTCTGCAACTTGTATTTTAATATACTATTTTCATCATACATTTAAATTCTAAACTACGACCGCTGGCGCAAACAGCTGACGTCGCTGACGACTTAGTTAATGACATCGGCAATGGTGACACCACCAATATGGCGGCGATTACCAGAAACGCGGTCGATATAAAGCAATCCTTAGATTCCTTACTGCTATTTGCACCGCTACAACTTAAGGTCAGCCTTAGTCTTAAGTGGAACTTAAACTACGATTTTGCTTTGCACCGCTGTTTCGTGTCCACCTCAAGTCTAGTTAAGTTAAGCCCCAGATTTTCTCCGCTTAGTTGGATTCTAACCTCATTTTTGGGTTTGTTTTCTTTTTTTGACAGAATTCTGGTTGAAATTGATTATCGATGATTTTATATTTGTAATATCCAAGGTTCCAAGAGCCTTTTCTCCGAAGACTGCATGTTTAAAGCAAAAAAAAAAATATTTATGTTTATTTTCATAGCAAAATCAAGTTTTCCGAAGTTTTTTTTTTATGGTTGTTGTTGCTGTTATTTAGTTATTTGTTAATGCTTTTATTTTTGTGCGTCGGCTAATTTTTACAGAATTTTGCACAAGAATGCCAAAAATATATTCAAAATAATATCCACGTGATATACCTAACTTATGAAAGAAAAGACGAAATTAACGAAAATATTTATATTTTAATCGCAAGGATAAGTTAACGGATAAATTCCTTGCTTGAAATAGGTACCTCCATCTTCATTTCTGCCTTAAAATACGCATTTTTGCGCTGTTGCCAATAGCTTTCAATTCTTAGCTAAGATTTGGTCGGTGCAAAGCAACTCAACCTAAAGGTTCACCTTAAGCTTAGCCTCTACCTAACTTAGTTTGTTTTTAAGGAACACCGGTGCAAATAGCTGTTAGTAGTGTATTAGTGTGTATTATAACGGTATTATCCTTGGTCCACCTCCGCCAACATGCCACAGGTTTCAGGTTTCACCACGCGCCAGCGCGCGGCGCTGTCCGTTAAGATGGAGTCCGACTACCATTTGTAAGCGCGTAATTTAAAGTATGTCTATAGTTTCAGTTTCCTTGTGGATGTAATATGTAGGTATGTATATCTTTGGATGAATAGCAAATAATTAAAAAATAGGAATTATAATTATTTACGCAAAAAGTTTCCGTTTTTTCGAGATTCAATAAATTTATACCTACTTAAATTATTGATCAACTATAAAAGCGGCTTAATTTTAAATAACAAATTGATATTATAGATGACAAAATAGATATGTCTTTTCCTTACCATATAATGACGTCGAAATGTCATAATTGGATGTCGTACCGTTATAGGGACGTCCTAATAATGACGTATTTATTGACGTCATTATTTGATACCATGAAGTCGGAGACCATTGCGGACCAAAAAATCACGTCAAATATCGTCATATTGACGTCAGTGTGTTTGCTAGGAAAGTTTTCCAGGTCCTCCAGGAAACTTTGCCCCACGATGGTGATGTAGGCGTTCCTCATGCAGGGCTCGGCAGTGACAAAGTAGGAGTAGGTGCTCTATTGTTTCATCTTTCTCAAAGCATTCTTGACATAGTTCATCGGTCCCGAGGTCCCACCTATAGAGCATAGTTCGGACTTCACTGTGTCCTGTGATTGCCCCTATACTGGGGTGCTTATCGATCTTTTATCCAGTTTCAATAATTTTTGGGTTTTCTCTATATCCACATACGGCCACAAAGCTCGTGATGCTACGCAAACATTGCGATTGCGCCATGTTCTGCTGTGCAGCTGCGTCATCTTTTTGTCTACTAAATCCAGTAAATCTATCAACAGTTTAATCGTTGGTTGTGATGAGTCGTCTGTTTCAGCTTGGTCCCTTTTCATTCCCAGTTTTACCAGTCTATATGCCATTTTGTTCCTTTCGATACTACTATGTCCGAGAACCCAGCTCAGTCCGACATTACTGTTCCTGATCCAGCACAGCGCTTCCCGGCAGCTCATCACTTTCTTTAATTTCACTGTATGTACTTCCAGCAGTCTCGATGCTTTGCTATCCACATATATGGTGACATTGCCCATCGCATTTTCCTCCCTAAGCAATAGCCTTGCTGCTTTATTTTCAATAGCAATTATTTCGGCATACAGGATGCTGCAATCATCCCTGAGTTTGTATGACTTTTGAATGTTTAGTACTTCTGAGTATACTTCCGCTTCTGTGAAAATTGCTATCTCATTGTCCCTATGTATAGGGGTTTGAACCCAATCTTCTCTTGAAGGCATAGTGGCCTTTATCCTGTCCTCGAAAGAATATTTGGCCACTATATGTAGTCCGTTGGCTTAAGGAATGTTTCGGCGTCTTGGTGGTCCATCATTTTTGATGTATCCTTAAGTATTGTCGAGTGTCTATAATCGGTTTCTTTCCACAGTTAGTCTTAGTCGAAGAGCTTCCTTATGCCTCTTGTGAATAAATCTATTGGTAGCAGATTCAGCATAACCGCTAAGACAGTCTGCGATGTGCTTCTTTTTGATCCCGTTGTACCAAGTGCTGCCATTCTCTGTACTTTGGTGAGCATTTTAAAGTTCACGTTTCTGTCAATAGCCTTCCACCAAACTACCGCTCCGCAGCTTATAATGGGTCTCACTATCGCAGTGTACATCCAATGGATGATGTGCTGTTGCGGTTGCTGTCCCCATTTTTTGCCGACAAGTTTTCTGCAGGTGTATATCGCATTCAGGCCTTTTTTCATTCTTTCTTTCGTGTGTCTGTTCCACGAGAGTTTGGAGTTCAGAACGACCCTTAGATACTTCGCTTCTTCTGATAGTTCAAGGGTTTGCTCCCCAACTGCATTGTAAAACTAAGGTTTTGTATTTTTTTGTGAACAGGACTAGCTGGGTTTTTTGAATGTTTACTCCCAACCCCTTCTGTCCTGCCTATCTGCCTATCTGCTGCCTTCAATGCTGCGGTGATTTCACTGATGGTTGATAAGCTGATCCCCCTCATCCGTACTACTACGTCGTCAGCATACGCAATCAATTGTATCCTCTTTTCTCTAAAGATTCTTGGGATCATATTGATTACCAACAGCCACAGGAGTGGAGATATCACTCCTGCTTGTGGAGTCCCTCTGGTTGTTCTTTTCTTTATGGCATAGTCACCTATTTCTGAACTAATGATTGTGCTTCTCAGCATTTGTATTATCCATTGTATGATGACTGGTTTTACCTTAAGGTACTCCATGTATTTCAATGGAATGCACCCTCTATGTCTTCGTGCAGTGCACTTTCAACTGACCTTCCTTTTAGGTATACATGTTGATCTGGGCATTGCGTGTTTATTCCCGTTAATTCTCTAATGTGTAGATCAATCAGCTTCTCTAGAGTCTTTAACAACAATGATGATAAACTAATTAGTCTTATAGTCTTTCGGGGTTGAGATGCCTGATTTACTCGCTTAAGGTATGAAGACGACCTTCACTTTCCTCCATCTTGATGGTGTATGCCCTAGTGTTGAGCAGTCAGCAAATATTTTTACCATTGGTGCTTTTCAGGGATTTTTGTAACATAACTGGCATTACCCCATCCGGTTTTGCGAACTTGAATGTGTGCAAGGTTTTTACTGCCCATTCCTTTTTCCCTCGTAGTTATTATTTTTATCATTTCTGCATCGGTTTTTGAGATTGATTCCAATTGCTCTTCGAATCTGTTGGTATCTACTTTTGTACAACCTGGAAAGTGTGTCTAAATCAGAAGCTCGAGGGCTTCTTTGCTAGATACTGTCCACGTATCGTTAGGCCTTCTGACTCCTCCAGGGACGGTCGAGTCCCTCGAAAGGGTTTTTTTAGCCTCTCTGATCTCGCTTTTATATCGGATGAAGCTGGTTTTCTATTCATTCCAGTCTTCCTCTTCACTTCTTCTTTATGCTTCGCTGAAAAGTTTCCTTGTTTTGATCCTCAGCTGCCATAAATTCGCTATCAACCAGGGGAAACCGATGCTTTTGCGAGGTCGGCTCAAGGGATAAGATTTATGGAAAGCTTTTCGTAGTTTTTCCTCAATTTCCTCTATACTCTCTTTGGTTGGAGGATTTCAAGGGATTTTTGTAGAACAACTGGTCACTGGCCATTTTCTCACTTTGTCTCTGTTTGGCGTCTGCGCACGTCAGAGCTTCAGCTACTTTACGCTACATGTAAAAATGCGTTTATTCGATTGAACATTTTTTGAAAATATTTCTACCCGGCGTAGTTGACACGTTGAACCTCTCGCTCCCTAAGTAGTCATGTTAAGCGTAGTTTATATAGATAGGAATCACGAATTGCGAATCCGAATTTCGTTGAACAAAAATCGGCGTTTTTCAGCCCTTTCATATAGATGCGAACTTCGCAATCATTCTAGGAATATTTACTTTATTTTTCTGTGCCATACACTGGAGTGTTGACAATAGTATATATTTACATGTTTTCTTTGGGTATAACCTTAAATAATTGTTTCTACTGTTGTTTCTTATTGTTTGTTACAATTCCCAAAAAATAAATTAAGGTGCCTAAATAAAGCAGCAAGGAGCATATCATAATTGAGTCCAATCAATAATACTTTCAGAAAAAAAAAATTAAAATTACCAAGTTTGATATAATGAAATAATGAAAAATAGGAGAAGAAAAATTATAACATACGGAATAAATGCGCAACACAGGAAATATTGAAACTTGCACATGCGAGTACTAGAAAAGTAGGTCCGCAGACGCAAGCGCATAAGAAATCCCCTGAGAAAGATGGAATTGCGCATGCCCCTCATAAAAATCCCTGTAAGTTTTCTCCCTGGGTGTGAAAATAGCGAACTGTAAAGTGGCCCCAACCCATATCATATTGATACCCAGGTTAATCTTTTAACCGGTCCCAGACGCTACGTGTATTTGGCGAATAGGCGAATATCCATCATTCGCATGAATATTTGCCTAGTCTCCCACACCGCGTGGTGGAATGGCGAAAGTTTGGCTTAAAAATTGTTCGGCGTAGCAAAAATCAATTTTGTGCAGCTCCGCTATAACTGACAAAACACTATGCATATACTTACCACCTTTTTAATTCCGAAGGGTCTGGGAGCAAAGCGAAGTGAACACGTAGTGAACTTCGCCTCTACTTCGCCTTCCTTTGCTTCGCGCCTGTTTACCGTTAATTGACGGGAAAATGACGAAGGACGAATATTCGCCAAAGTCACCTTCGCACACGCTACGCGAATAAGCCCGAATACCGAATGTTCGCCGAATACACGTAGCGTCTGGGACCGGCTTTAGACTAGAAGCCTAATATCAGATCGGTAATGAGCAAAATAACAAAATTGGACATTCCCGAAAAATACAAATTAAAAACATACAATATTGAGAAACTAAATTCAACGATTGCCTAATCCCTAAACAAAGCTCGAACAAAATATGGTGTCAGCAGATGCTATAAAAAAAAACCAAAAGCTCACACCGCAGATAAGCAGCTATTAAAAAAATATAAAGGTCGCGATAGATGTTAGAAAAACAAATATGGAAAAATTAATCGTAGCAATAATTGAATGTTTAATTTAGATAATTCAGTGCAAATAAAATTTCCAGAACTACATAATTGTTTTTTAGTTTCTATGTTAAAAACAGATAAAAGCCTCAATTCACCAGTCTTATCTATATTAAATATTAAACAGTGCTAAAAATACTGTAACTGATAAATACTTGTTGGAATAATTTAACGTTGATAATGCGCTTAGGTATTTCTCAAAATTCAATTAAAATGATTGGGAAATATAATGTTTTCTAATGTGACGTAATGTAAATATTATGTATATGTATATGTAAGTCTTTCTTATCTCAAGAAGACAAATAGTGATTTATTATAAAATCTAACGAAAAGGATACGTTTGTTTCTCAAATAATACAATAGGGTCCATTCTGGATCTATGTTTGCATCTTCTATCTAAAAGCAACGAAAAATTATCTGAAGATTATGAAACAACTTGATTAGGTAGGTACATTTGCACAGATTTCAATGCTGTTTTCGAGTAACGTCTTTTTTATTTAGGTGGATACTAACAGTGTACTATCCACCAAAATAAGACGTCAATCCATGAGTATTTAAGAAAGTCTTTTCATAAAATATAATAAATATTCATCTCGGTAAAATATTTGCAAATTTTATTATTCATTTATTGTTTATACAGTACCCATGACTTACAATAATGTATTACAAAAAATTAGGCATTGGAATTTCATGAAAGCAAAATAATTGAAATCCGAGAATTTCCTGAAGGAATCTGAGTGAGCTACTCTAACTTGATCTAATTTCTTAATTATTATTTCTTGACAACATTTTCACATCGAGCCATCCTGTAATTAATTCTCTCAGGGGTCTTTGGCACCTCTAGATTTTGGCTTGCGAAGCATTCTTGGTTGACACCCCTATGCGTTATTTTGGTAATCCAATGACTTAGTAAAAGTAAAAACTCTAGTCGAAACTGCTTAGATCCCCCAAAACTAAATATTTTCTGAACTGATAATTACGTACCTTTTTGCCATTAACATAAAACACCAAAGTATCACTAAGTTTTTTTCTCCCATCTGCTATTACCATTATCACTTTTTTTATGTCAAGTTGTTTCTATAGGGGAGTGTGTTACCATTCGAAGCAATTTGGGTACTGGCGCACAACAGACTTGTTTTTCAATCAACAAGAAGCCATTATCAGCTCGAAGAATTATTGTTATTTTATTTAATCTGATTATTTGGCTTTAAAGTGATAGTGTTGAGTTTTTTTTTTCAACAAATAGACTATAGGCTTTCGTTGTTTGTATAAGAATTATAATTATTTGAGCAGTGATTACAATAAAAAAGGCTTATGAAAATTAAATTTCATCAGGAAACATTATCTACGAGCTTTATTTTTATGTAATAAACAACTTTATTTTGACATTTTAAACAAATTAGAGTTTTCAACGATTAGGCCAAGCAATGAAGGAAGTTTACCTCAACATAATTAGAAGTTAACATTTTTTTTTTTGGGGGGATCAGTCCATTTCCATGTGCTAAATAACATATTAAGTTTGCGACCTTGTACTTCCATAGGGTTTTTAGTTAGGGGTGTTTTTCAGGAGTAATTTGTGGTTTATGGAGAACGCTGCTCAAAGGGATGATCCAATAGCAAAAAGTTTCAAATGATTGTTGTAGCTAAAGTTTTTTGCTATAAAAAACTCCGCGATAGCCCCTCTATCTTCTATAGTTTTTTTTCTGCAGCGTCTTGAATGCTAACATGTTTTTGTTCAAGGCCACTGAATCAGCGTTTCGCCTGTTTGCATGCATTTGGTGCAGCATCGGCCGAATGCATAATCCGAATTTAATTGTTCAAACACCACATTATTGCTAATGAAATGCACTCTCCAATGCTTTTTTGTTTGAATTTTTGGCTTGAAAATTGAGCGAGCACGGACTCGCCTAATGTGCTAGAAAGTTGTAAATTGCATCGAAAACTACCCCTTTCTTGCATTCACTATAATTTCTAAACGGGGTCAAATATTTGAGTTTTCCACAATCGGCAGCCCATTTATTCTTCTCATAATGCCCCAGCGGAATTTTTTTTGTTAATTACTCAATAACTTATTCGCCTGAACCCGTCGCGCGGAATTTTTGAAAGTAAAAAAAATTAAAATTGTCGCTCAGCGCTGAAATGGTACGAGAATAAATGTAAATACTGTAATGCTTTAATATAATATTGTGATATGACTTGAAAGAAATACTAGTAAATGCAGAAATATGCGTTTTACGGAAAATTTTTTGAAATAAATCTTGTGGCAAATACCATGTCGGAGGATTTTTATAGAAAACATCTTGTTTTAGGAGCCTTTTGTTAAATAATATGATAGAATAATACTTGCGCGTGCACTATTTTCGCCAATAGCTAAGTCAGCAGTCATGTGAAACAATTAAAATTGCAGTATATGCATGAGAACAATAAATAAAGCCATCGTACCACATTTCAGCGCTGGGCGACAATTTAATTTTTTTTTTACTTTTTGAAAAAATTGAGATCGCGAAATTTGCCTTAGGCTTAGAATCCTTCCACAACTTTTGGATAGAAATAAGTTTGTTATCAGGTTAAAGAGGATCTCCCGTCTGCCAAATTAAATTTATGTTACATTTACGATGTAATACATCAATAAGTAAATGGCAGAAAATCTCGGTTGGTATAATAATATTTAACAATTTTTGAAGTTGTATCAAAATGCTGAGATGTTGAAACAATTTTCTCCCATCTGCCATTTGGAAGATAAGTTTGACATGCAAAGTAAAATCCAAGAAATATATTGGCAGATGTATCCAAGGCATATTAACAATTGGCAGAAACAATAAAAATGTCAAAATTTTTCAAAGTTGAGATCAATTTTTTCCCGTCGGCCAATAATTTATATTAAATTAGCTACTACTGAAAGCCTAAATTTCGACTGGCAGAAATTGCAGGCTGATACAAGTTCTCATAATTTATGAACAAAATTGGAACAAAAATTGTCCATATCATGAACGTTTTTAACCCGTCTGCCGTTTGTTTCAGTAAAAAGTAGTTATGGGAATATGCATAATCTCAATATGGCAGAAACCTCAATGAGCTACATACGTTGCACAATTATTGTTAAATTGCTAAAAATGTTTATGTGTCCAAACAATGGACCTTTTGCACTCAATCAAAATTAGTTATATAATTTATCTGTAACGAAAGTGTATTTTATGTAGGTACTACATAAAAGTATGGTTGGTTAATTTTTAAAAAAATCTTGAAGCCAGAAATTGGAAGAAAAAAAAGCAGATTATTTGAATTTTGTCCCATATTTTTGCACAATCAAAAATCACTGATTGTCAAATTTCCATGTGCCAAACGATTCATTTTTTTTTTTTTTTTTTAACACATCGGACAAAAAAGTAGACATATATACAGGGTGACACAAGGAATAGGGAACAACCTATAACTTTTTTAATATATAAGTTGAAAATTTGAAATTTGGGGTGCTTAATCGAGGCAACTTTTTGAGTTTTTTAGAAGTAAATTGCGTTACCAGTCACTTCCGGTTAAACCAAATTTTCAACTTATATAGGTATTGAAAAAGTTATAGACTGTTCCCTATTCCTTGTGTCACTCTGTATATCAAAATCGCTTTGTATATCGACTTTGGTACAGCCCTACTTTTGACTCGACTAGTATTGACAATTTTCTTTCCTTAATAAATGCGAATTAAACAAAGAAATCGATATCTGTACTAATCCGGCACAGTATAAAGCAGGACGCGCACTGAATCGACTCGGCGAAGAGCAGTCGGCAGTTTTTGATACTCATGCAATTAAATGAGGCTCAGTAAATGTGTTGCACAGTGTTGTCGAACGTCAAAATACTAAATCGGGAGAAACTAACGTTGAAAATCGATAGATTACAGCGCAAAATCGGTAGGTATAACACAAGGATAATACACACTACTAAGGATTGCTTATCGGCATCGATTTCGGTAATCGCGGCCATATTGGTGTATCACCATTACGGACGTCATTAACTAAATCGTCAGCTCTTTGCGCCAGCGGTCCTCCTAGTTTAGAATTTAAATTTATGATAAAAAATATTATTTAATTTTGATTAACATAATAGGCAAAGAGGAAGATGCAAACGAGATCTGAACAGGAGTTCTTATTGTTAATAATGTAGTAAGACCAAGTATGGTATGCATAAGGTAAAAGACCGCAGAATCATAACCTGTGATGCAAACAGTGCCTATGTCAAGGCGAGAAACGACGTGCTGCCTACGTCATAACTGGTGATTTGGCGTAGTGGGGGGCTTTAGATTTGTTCTACACAGGTCTTATGAGGATATGCTATCCTGTAGTTGTAGTGTGTATTATCCTTGGGTATAACCAGTGAGTATAACATAAAAACTAAAATCCAGCCGTGCTTTCCTTTAAGCTTTCTATTTCGTTGAGTATGAAAAAGTTCAGTGATTGTTTCCGTGGAAAGTCTATCTCTTTGTACTGTTTTCATTTGATTTATTGCTGAGAATGTGCGCTCAGCACCGGCGGAAAAATGGGGCAATAACAAGATATTAAAAACAAATTCGGATATCACAGGACCCACAGGTATTCTCCGATGAAAAAATCGGCGAAAACAAAACCGATAAAATTGATTTTTTGGCGAAAAACGGTAAAAAAATCGGTAGAATAGTATTTATTATCGAAAATCGGTAGAAATTCATCAGTATTCCGTATTTCGGTAGGTCCGTTGCCATTTTGGTAGAAATACCGAAATTTCGGTAGATTTGACAACACTGGGTTGCATCGACACAAAATCCAAGTCTAAACGCAAAACTGGGTTTTTGATATCAGTTTGTCACAACAAATTGATCTCAAAAATCGGGTATTGCGTTAAACATGGAATTGTGTTGGTGCAACATCCCATTAATGTGTGATAGGCATTGAAAAAAAATTATAACGTATGTGAGATTTCAAACATTTTAGTCCAAGAGCCCAGAGCCGCCAGACACAACCTATTTTCTAAAGGACAGAATATGTGGGATTGTGTAGCACTTATATGTACTATGAACTTATGTATACCCGCTAAGTTGGGTAGACGGCCAATTTACCAACACCAGGTGCGAAAGCTTTAACTTTTTTTCTAACGCGTGATTTTTATATATGGTATTGGGAAGACTATTTCATAACTACGTGTGCTCAGCCAGACCAATCGCACCGGCCAAACATCCCCCCAGACGCAAAATAATTTTTCCGGGAGTGTGAGCGCGAGGGTACTATGCATGTGTTTGAGAGTGAGCGAGATATCTATGTCAACTGATTTCCGCCTCTTAAACTTACAGTCTATTCCAGGCTAGAGTAGAAATGGGATTAGGTTTTTTCCATAATAGGAAAAACCGTTATTTACAAATAAGAGTCAATTGGCCGTCTACCCAACTTAGCGAATATACATACGTTCATAGTACCTATAAGTGCTACTCAATCCCATATATTCTGTCCTTTAGAAAATAAGTTGTGTCTGGCGGCTCTGGGCTCTTGGACCATTTGTACATAAGCAGTCATTTTGCCTTTTGATAGGTATTCAGTTGTTTCGATAGAAACTTTACTCAATTAAGTTGGCAGACGGGAGAAAATTGCAATTTAACAAACATATGTGCAACTTATGTAACTTATTGCGGTTTCTGCCATATTGAACATATGCATATTCTCATAACTACATTTCACGTAACCAAATGGCAGACGGGTTAAAAACGTTCATCATATGAACAATTTTTGTCGCAATTTTGTTCATTGTTTATTAGGACTTGTACCAGCCTGCAATTTCTGCCAGTCAAAACTTAGGCTTTTGGTAGCAACTTATTTAATATAAATTAATGGCAGACGGGAAATAATTGATCTCAACTTTGAAAAATGTTGACATTTTGAAAAATTAAAAATAAATATTTGTACCACTTCAATTTTTCTGCCGGTGCAAAGGTACATTATTTATCTAAAATCCATTGCAACAAAACATGTTTTAGGCGGGAGAAAATTGTTTCAACATCTCAGCATTTTGATACAACTTCAAAAATTGTTAAATATTATTATACCAACCGAGATTTTCTGCCATTTACTTATTGATGGATTACATCGTAAATGTAACATAAATTTAATTTGGCAGACGGGAGGTCGTTGATCCACATGT